GATCCAGGCTAAGATCCTAAGGTATCAGACGACGCTGAAAAGATCTAGATCTCTCGTTAAAGATGATGGCACAGACCAGTCCAGTGGGCTGCACCTCGGAAATTCGAGATAGAAAAAATTAAGGCCTGGAACGAAAGGAAATTGAGACTTGAAGCAATAGTGTGTCAAACACAGTCAAGCCAGTCCCAAAGAAAGATGAAAAGGAAAGAAAAAGGGGGAAGAGAAGAGGTTAGGTGGAGAGAGAGGAGAGGAGAGGAAGATGAGGAAAGTTGGGGATGAAGAAGTTTGGTGAAGAGGCTTTTCTGTTTCAGGCCGCGAAATCACGGGTTCGCCGAGGAGAACCTCAGGGACAACATTCTTTCTTGACTTCTCCATATCTCGTGATTCTGAATCTTGAGGGACCTCTATTTTCTACTCTTTCCTGGGAATTCTGCTCCTCGTGGTCAAATCCGAATATTTTCTTCAGCCTAGTGGAGACGTTACTATGAATATCTGCCGAGCCCAGACCTGAGATTCAGCGCGCACCAACTATACTGATAATGAGCTTCCTTGGTGGTCCACGTTTCTAGTAATTGTCTCAAACTATAGCCTTATCGGCAGTGGAAAACACTTCCTATTGAACTTTCAATCGTCACTGGCTATGAGTTCTCAGCATTACCCGGACGGGATTCCTCTGGATGAGGAGATGCAGGAGGGGCAGTCGGAGTATCCAGATATCGATGAAACTGTTCGCTATCCCTGGCAAAATGATCAATCTTTTAATGTTGGCGACATGCTTGCCTCGGTGATTGATCCTCGTTTGTTTGGGGACCAAAATCCACAAATCCAACGGCAAAGCATCAATCAATATCCTCAAGATCTCAATGAAGACCAAGGCGAAGTCGAAGAAGAGCAGGAGGTTGATGGACTCTACCCGGATGAATATGACAGTCAGGGGTATCCCCCAGTATCATATCCTCCCGTGCCTGGCGAGCAAGCCGTGTCGGACGAGGACTTTACCTTATCTGGAGACGAAAGCGAGAGGTACGTAAGTTAAGACACCATATCTCCGGTTTTAGTTAACATGATACTAGTGATTCTGATGAAGATGAACCAGCAGAGGATGATGACGATGATCATTCAGCCGCCAGCAGGCGCCGCCGTCGTGGCGGTGGTCGCTTTTCCGGAAGATGGGGCGCTCGCGGTGGAAAGGGCATCAAAAGAGGACCACGCAAACCATTGGAGCCCAGTCCGGAATTCAAGCATCTTCATTCGGGGGCTACCTCTGCCTTCATTGATGGAGACTACGAACGGGCCATTGATCTGGTGATGCAAGCAATTCAGATTAATCCTGAAATGTTTGCTGCCCATTCTTTGCTCTCGGAAATCTTCCTCGCACAAGGAGAGAATGATAAAGCCCTAGCAGCTCTATTCAACGGAGCTCATACGAGGCCGAAAGATCCCGGTGTCTGGGTCAAAGTTGCTCGACTCATCTTAGATCGCGCCGGAGAGAATCGGCAGTCCGCATTGCATGATGTAGCTTATTGCTACAGCCGTATCCTCGAAGTCAGCCCCTCCAACACCAATATTCGGTTCCAGAGAGCAGCAATCTATCGTGAGCTGGGTCACAATGGCCGAGCCGCAGCGGAGTATGAGAGATTACTCAAGGACTGCCCACACAGTGCCAGAGCACTGCGCCATCTTGCAGAGACGTACATTGATCTCAATGACGTACAAAAGGCAGTAGATTATTATGCGGACAGCATTGATCACTACCTATCCATCGACCCCGAAGCCTCTGATTTCACCTGGTCGGATCTCAATATCTATGTTGAACTTTTTGGCTATCTCAATCAACCCGAAGAAGGACTCAACTCTTTGAGAATACTTGCACGTTGGCTTCTAAGTCGCGGAGAAGATTCAGTATGGGACGGCCACGAGGATGACGACAGAGAATGGGACGCTGATGATTCGCCACGACGGATCAAAACCGATGGTTTTCTGCCCGATCAGTGGCCTCGAGAGTCATATGGGCTTGGTCTTCCGCTGGAGCTTCGGATAAAAATGGGTGTTTTTCGCCTGAAATTGGGCGACAAGTATCACAACGAGGCATTGGTGAGTTTGATCCCGGATCACGGTAATGACTGAATAAACTAATACAATCAGCATCACTTTGAATGGCTTAACCCAGAAGACGACTCCGAAGGTGCCCGAATTTTCGATTATGGTGATCTTTTCAGGGAAGTGGCAGATGCTCTAAAGCAAGCCGGTCTCTTCGAAGAAGCCCTCCGGTACTATACGCCCATCCAGCAGACCGCCGAACATGCCGACATTAGCTTCTTTATGGCCATGGCTGACTGCTGCATGCAGTTAGGCAAGATGGAAGATGCTGAAAGCTGTTATCTACTCGTCGCTGAACACGATGCCGGTCATATGGAGTCGCGAGTACTACTAGCGAAGCTATATGAGAGCCTCGGGATGAGCGAACAAGCTATGAAATATGTTGGCGAGGCAGTCTTGATCGGCCGGCAGGAAAATCGTAGCCGCGGAAGAAGAAAGGACACCAGACTTGAACAGCTTGCCATAGAATTCAAGATGGCTGAATCAGAACCCCTCCGGTCAATTGCACCTAAACCGACAAATACAGCACCACTTATGAACGCAGCTCCTTCGGCTCCTGGCAAAGGACGGGCGCAAGCTGGCGAAGGTACTCGGACTGATGATATTCAATTCTTGTACGCGAAGTTGTTAGAGTTGAATCCCCAAGTCAAAGACGGTGTCCCTCTAGCCATTGAAGATTGGCTGGACATTGCTGATGCTCTATTGCGAGATTTCCGGAACAATCGGGCATTCTATCCAATGGATCGAAGTATTGCTTTCAGGGGATATTCGACTGGTGTCAAATCCAAGAACCAGACCAAAAATGGCACAATGATGGATGAAATGCAGCAAATGGCGGGCCGTCTTCAAGAAACCATGGGTATGTCACCCGGGTCCATCCTCCATCCACACCATGCTAATGTTATATCAAGGAGATTTCTCGGAGGAGCCCTTGCAGGGCGCCATTCCCACCGACTACCATGGAATACCATTTGATGAGTGGCTTGACATATTCCTGCAGTACGCTTTACTCGTAGTAGAACAAGGCGAACCAGAGGAGGCCTATGAGACCCTTGATTCTGCGGCGATTGCAAGCATCTGGTTGCACTCTAAGCCAAAATCCCGATTGATACATGTTTGTTGGTTCAGTGAGTTCATTCAATTCACTACTAAGTGGTTATCCACTAACACTTTTACAGCATGCGCTCTCCGCGCACGAGATGAAGAGACACTGGCTAATGAAGCCCGTTGGTTTATCAAAGAATACCAGTTTGTCACCGATACTTATCGACTCTTCTCTATGCTGGGCCACCTATGTGGCGACCCTCACCGATCCCTTTTCCATTCCTCCGGAAACATGAAATTTATGCTTCGTCAAATCAAGGCAATAGACTTTACGATGCCACAAGATACGCCTCGACCCATTCGGCATTCTGTCTGGAAAGAGCGCGCCACTCTATCCACACGGGATGAAGCCGGTGAGCCTATCGCTGCGAAAGAGTTAGATATTGCTCTTCTGGTACTTTATGGCCACATGCTGTACTCTGGAAACAGTTTCTATCCCGCCCTGAACTATTTTTTCCGAGCATATGCCATAGATGACCAAAACCCGGCCGTCCTCCTCTCCATCGCACTCTCATTCATCCATCACTCTCTCAAACGACAGTCCGAGAATCGTCACTACCTTATCATGCAAGGACTGTCATTCATGCATGAATACCGGCTAGTTCGGCAGAAGCCGGGAACTCTTCTAGCTGAAAAACAAGAAATGGAATTCAATTTCGCTCGTGTTTGGCACTCGCTTGGTCTGGCCCACCTTGCTGTCGAAGGGTACGACCGGGTGTTAAAACTCGGCGAGCAGATTCAGGAACAGGCTAAGCAAAAGTCTCTTCAAGAACCGACACCTGCAATGGGTGGTGCTGATGTGGTGATGGGTGATGATGGCCAACACCAAAAGACTTCATCGCCTACTGGTCAGCCTTTCGTTGAGGATTTCTCCCGCGAGGCCGCTTATGCGCTGCAGTGTATTCATGTTCTCAGCGGCAATGCACAGACGGCAAAGGCCGTTACAGAAAAATGGCTTGTCATTTGATCTAAGTTCATGTCTGCTTTCCAGACTGTCTATTACTTGTAATGTATTTATATGAGTTAAAGCCTCAAAATCAACACTACTGAGTTAATTCATAAGCCATTATATTCAACCAGCCTTCACATGAATGTGATATCAAGATAGGGGATATAAACCCAGAACCTGTGAATGTCGTTTTAATATACGGAGTTACTGCATGTACTTCTGTAGATAGAAATTTTGACGTTGGGTTGTATCACACCCAAGATGGGAGTATTTCTTTCTCTTGATGTCATTACTTCAAGACCTTGACCAACATATCCTAAAGAGAATGAGCTCACTGCTGCATACCTCTCCTTTATTACATAACGGGATTTCGCTGCAGAGATTATGGGGTTGCATTTGCCTCCTTATCTTTCAACCCCCAAGGTTATATTACATATTGTTCTCGCTTGGCTGGGCGAAAGGGAGGGGACTCTAATTTTGAGAGGAGTCAGTTCGGCATCATTTCAGTCAGTGGAAACATTGAACGGGGGGAACAAAGAAGTTGAGCGGCTTTGAACTAACCCTAGTTGACAAGAATGTGGGGAGTGCGGAAATGCAAGCGGAAATGCAATTGCAATTAAAATGCTTGCTAATCAACATCTCAACATATACGCCTTACCACTGTGGCTTATTACTAGCTCACAAATGACTTTGCAGGCCGAAGTTATAATTCTTTCGAGTCGGTTCGGCCCTACCTCGCATAAATTCACCTTAAACCTAATGCTTATGTCTTTCGGCCTCGTTGATGTCATTGAGTCATTGATATAGAGAAGAGAATACGGCCACATAAGATTCTAAACCCTAGAGAATGACTGCGGATAGCACCCAAAGGGTCGGAAACCATTCCAGCTCTCAAATTGAAGGTTCTGCAGAACTATTGCCGATCACATCGGCGCAATCCAATTCCCCCGCAGCCCAGGAGTTTGATGAAGACGAAAAAGACCATGATGTCAATGTCCAAAGCACGACAGAAGAGTCAATAGGGAAGCGCAAGTATTGGAGACGTTTTATCGATGCTGTTTCATGGACACCGCCGCGATGTCGATGGAATACAGAGAATCCGATCAAATTCGGCTTGCCTTTGAATATCCTGTTCGCATTCTCGGCAACTTTCACGGTATAGCACTGAGAGATTGCAATATATGGCATAGCAATTGCTAATATGGCCATGCAGGTCGCCAATCTATACTATTCACATCCCATTCTGGATATTCTTGCTCAATTCTTCGATGTCTCGCATGAGCGAGCCTCGCTGATCCCGACCTGCAGCCAAGCTGGATATGCGACAGGATTAATTCTTCTTTGTCCTCTTGGTGACTTAGTTCGGAGGAGGCACTTCGTATTGCTCCTGACGCTTGTTACTGCGGCATTGTGGGTTGGTGTCTGTATCACCAAGTCATTCGAGGTATTCCTTGTGCTGAGTTATCTATCTTCGGTCACAACTGTTACTCCAGTAAGTGGTTACAAGCAAGCATATCCGAGGCTCTGGCCTAAACAAAAAAATTAATCATCAATGCAGCAAGTCATGCTCCCTCTCGTCGGAGATCTGGTCCCCCCAGCTCGTCGCGCAACAGCCCTATCAATCGTGTCTTCGGGACTCGTCCTGGGCCTTCTCTTTGCCCGCCTGCTCTCCGGTATAGTCGCAGAATACTCGTACTGGCGAAATATCTATTGGCTATCACTAGGCCTCCAATTCCTCATTTTCGCCCTTCTGTGGCTGTTCATGCCGGACTATCCATCAACAAACACCAATATTTCCTACTTCAAGATCCTATATTCCATCATCGGATACTACTGGAAATCCCCAGTGCTTGTTCAGGCAACTCTCATGGGATTTTTCCTCTCGGCCACATTCACCAGTTTCTGGACAACACTCACCTTCCTCCTATCCGGCGATCCCTACAACTACCCAACCCTGACAATCGGACTATTCTCTCTAGCAGGTCTTACACCTATGTTCCTAGGCCCACTCTTCTCACGCTACATGATCGACAAATTCGTGCCGCAGTTCTCCATCCTCGTCAGTTTCAGCATCCTGATCACCGGCGTCAGCGTCGGGACCTATACAGGCACATATACTGTCGCGGGCCCAATCATCCAGGCTGCGCTGCAGGATTTTGGTCTACAGATGACGCAAGTTGCCAACCGTGTTGCGATCTACAGTGTTGCGCCCAAGGCGCGGAATCGGATCAATACGGGATACATGATTGGCGTGTTCTGTGGTCAGCTTATGGGTACCTCTGTTGGGAATCGTCTCTACAGTCAAGGAGGGTGGATTCTGTCGGGAAGTGTCAATATGGCATTTATTGGGGTGGCGCTGACTATTTGTCTTCTTCGTGGTCCGGCTGAGAAGGGATGGGTTGGGTGGCATGGTGGCATTCGCATCCGACGAATAGAGTGAATCAGAGTGATGTTCTGCCGTGCTTGGGCTTTTGTGTTCTTCTACAGAAATATAGTTCCTGCTAATATGCTTTACGCTAGACTACATATGCGTAGAACCTTCAAAAGTATCAGACCTCTTCTATTTATTTGAGATTTAATGATCACCAGTGCATTTAACAGCAAGCTTATAAAGAAAACTCACGGTAGACATATAGTATACGCCAAACTGCTGCCAGCCTGCTGAGCTTCGAAAGGAATTTGAGTACTTATCTATTTTTAGTTATGTACGATGACGTTAATCAGTCCAATTTGTGCAGATTAATTCAACAACGTCACTTGAAAAAGAATGGCTACTACGGAGTACTCCGTAGTTGATTCAAGCTTGAGATCCACTTTGACACTCACTCTCAAGATTGTAGTAAGTAAAAAAGAAGCAAAGGTACGGAAAGACCGATTTTGTAAAAATGATAGAAAAATAAAAATAAATGCATCAGGAGGGAATCGAACCCCCCTCGCCAGTTTACTTGATAAGGAGATTTCCTAATCTGGAAGACTAGCATCATAACCACTAGACCACTGATGCAATGGATATGTTTAAACGTCAACCAGTATGGTTCATCAAGTAGAGTTACATATATATTGGTCTCCGCACTCCAGCATCATACATGTCTGTGAAACACTGTCTGTCCAGACATATAATCCCGGCGACGCTCCACTAGGAGATAAGGGGTTGGGCAATGTGGAATTCAATAATAGATACTAAGTCTGTGATGGCTACACATTCCATACAAGATGGTTACAGTCTGCGGGCTCCGGCGGCCGATCACCCTAGAGGAGATAAGGAGAAATATGGCTTCAAATTGGCAGAAAAGGAGAATCATCTCCCTAAGTCAATCAATGATATTATCAAGTTGATAGAGCAGATGCTAGTGAGAATGTTGGTCTTTCTCTTGCTGTTGAGTCTAAGCCTATATCCAGCTAGTCGCCAGGGCAAATTGAATGATTTGTGTAGTAAATTGTCCTGTCGGGCTGTATGATTGAGGTAAATATTGGTGACTGATTACTCAGGGCACTGTCTACGATTGATGATTAGCACTTCTGTTGAATATCAATATCTTATTTTCTAGCGTTGTGATATTATCTGCACTGCCAGTTGAGACATCTGTTGTTCTGCCCTTATATCTAGATATAGTTAATTTGCTGATAATCACGTAGCAGCCATATTTCACAGGGATATACGATTTGTTAGAGCCTCCCCTTGGCTATTGGTCCTGGGATTGATTTTTACACCTGTGATGAAGAGGACAGCGTTATATATCTTTTTTTTTGGAAAGAGGTCCACTGATTGAGTAAACCACCTTTATAATCAACAGCCGATCCTAAATTGAATGTGGCGAGATAAAACACGTATGCAAATGCAACGATGTCAAGGAAAAGAATGAATGAGCGGGAGTAGTGGCATACTCCCGGCAAGTTATCTGAGCTACTTCTCTATAGCCTTGTCATGGATTATCCCAAGCGACAGCCTCTAGGTGGGAAGCGTGTATGGCTCGCAAATCCAACGCTCAATCTCTCACTCAAGAATTGAGGTGTTCTTTTCTCTCTCTCTTTTGAGTGAGGACCTGGTAGCTAAGCAGATACTCTTGGCCAGCCTTATTCAGATAGTCATAAGCTGTCTGTTGCAAATAGGACGATCTAGACAACTCAGAGCCCGACCAGTCCGAGATGAGGGTGTAGGCAATCAGGATTGGCTTTGTCAGGAAACGCACAAATAGCTGGTCTTACCAGAACCTGCGTAATCATTTCCATAGATTTCAATATAATTGTACACATGTTCGTAGTAAAGAGAACATAGTTGAATAGTTGGCAGTCAAACTTAAACTTAAATCTGTGGGTATCAGCGTCTACACCGTAGATGAAACGGCTATGCTAGGGGCATTCGAAGGAAACGCAGATATATTGTCAACGCCATATTTGTCGACCAGGCCGCGTTTGGAACTCGCAGCACGAACGGCAAGCAAGTCGCAGGCTGCTGGTGTTAGAGGTGTTGGTCGCTCATGGTGCTTAAAGTACAAATCCTAGACTATGGGTAGCCAAATTGTGTCCAAAATCAATGATCAAAGGATGGAGATAGAAATTTTGCATTGTAATTAAAAATTGGAGAGCGGGGGGGGGGGGGGGGGGAAACACCACAACAAAATATAATAAAAAAACAATATAAGACAAACAGAGACCTTTTAAATTTGATATAAAAAAAAAAAC